GGGGGGTACAGAGATGTCTAAGAGCAAGGACACGTATGGCCGGGTTCGCGACGACGACGGCAGCCTTCGGCCATCGCCCCGCCGCGATTACCCTAAGGGGATGCCTGCCTTGCAGGTAGATCCCCGTACCATCGGTCGCAGGCTCTTGGATTAGCGCAACGTCTAAGGCTATCTCTACAGTAGTTTGTCTATCTGGTGCGTGGCCGCCTGTCCTCGGCCCGCGTTAATTTGAATAAAATTTATCATTTTCTCCTCGGTCCTGCAGACCACCGCCGGGGCGGGGCACGTATCCGTCTGCTCCCTGCTCTAGCTCCGGCTCATGATGGACGGGCGTGTGTACGAAGAGGCCTTCCGGGTTACGCATATTATCGGCGACTACCAATTCGCCTAAGGTCGATTCTTGTGCGCAGTCGCTGGGCTCACTGTCCCTAGCTTTGACCACGCGGTTACAGGCTTTTCGCCTTTTCTATCGAGCTCTTCGTTTGTGGCGCCGCATTTCCGTCCGTCTTTTCGACCGCAACGGCCGCGTCGCTAGGCGAGCTCACATCGAGTATCGGGCCGCACAGCTCCGACCGCGTTCTTACGAACGACGCAGGTGGCGGGGCCCCCGGATCCGATCCCCCGCCTATGGGGGTGTCTATGTTAGCCTGTCCGTCCATAAGTTATTTGCGAGTCTGCTAGATCCGGTGTCGACCAAGTCACCGGACCCCCCTTGTTAACCGAGGGGGCGGTCCGTTTATTCGGGCGGAGTCGAAACTCTAACACCTGGCAGGGCCCTAGGGCCCTGTTCGGCATCCGACCACCCAGCCAAGGGCAGCCCGTCACGTCGGCCCAAACGAAATCGCCGACTCTCCCCCCTCCAAGATTTTAATCTCATAGGTGGTTCCCCGACCCCCCTAACAGGTATGGTCGGCTGGGGGTCCTCCGGTGGAGGTCCCCCGGTGTTTTTCCCGTGAGCGCCTTCTTGGCTGCGAGCGGCGGTCCCGGGCCGGACAATCGTGTCAACGAGTTGCCCGCGCCTGGGCCAACCAACGAAGGTCAGATCCAGTTCAGGTCCCCTTCATCGGGGACCCCCGGGTCCAGTCACTTAAGTCCAGACCCCGGTCTAATGCTTTAGTGGCCCGACTCTCTCTCGGAGGTCGTTTTTATCGGTCCCTAAGTTGCTAAGTCCCCCCCCACAGGATCCGCCTTGACGTGGCGGGGAGGCTTGCGGACTCTTAACTGAGTCTTACCAAGTGATCCCGGTCTTACTTAGACCAAACACAGAGTCTGACCTTAATTGGTTGGACAGGCCTTGTCCACCTGCAAGCGCCTGCAAACGGACATAGGTGAAGGTAACACTGATAACAAATCCCCCTGCCAGCAGGGCTAAAATGGCAGAGACAACTGTAAACACAATATGGAAAGTCAAACTAGAAATATTGTTACCGCGCCAGGGGATTCGGACCCCCAGGTGCCGGCAGTAGTGGGTGGACCCGAGGTAACAGCCGGGTCCAACGTAGCGGGCCCACTACGGTCGTCAGCCAACGACCGTGAGGGTGCGAGGGTGGCCAGCCAGGCCCCCGTCACTCTAACAAATACTAGCGCTGAGAAAATGGATGTTGCAACGTCAGGTTCCACGCAGAAGAGCTCCAGCCCCAAGCTTCAGACGAAGCTGCTGTCCTCGGGCTCCAGCAAGGAAACCAACCATCAGGCGGTAGTGGCGGCCACGGAAGAGGCTAATGCCCGTTTCTTCAAACACCTACAACAAGTGTACAACTTGTCGAAGGGGTTGGACGACAAAGTGGCTGCTGCCCCTAACACGAAGAGGGAAATTAAGTCCCTCATTGCACAGCTGTCGAGTGGCGTCAGAGGACTTATACAATGGGGAAGGCTAACCGTCAAAGTCTGCGCCAGTACCTCGAGCAGGGGCAATCAAACAAACCCGGATAAAACGAAGGTGAGTACCTCGAGCAGGGGCATTCAAACAGAGTTCAAGACAAATCCCGTCAACGAAAACGTTGTAGGAGTAATACTGGCTTCGGAGGACGACGTACCTTCACCAGATCGCTCCCGATTCGAGATACCTGCAGCTATCGAGGGTCTTCGGCAGATAATAAAAACCCAGGGCGATGTAATTGAAAAGCTGGCCGAAAAGGTGGAGAAGACTTGGCTTACAAGTGGACAAAACCCGCGACAACAACAAATAGACCCGGGGCCTACCCAAGAGAAGCCTAAACAGCAGCCGAAGCAGAAGCCAAAGCAGCAGCAGAAGGATCTTCAGGTGCAGGGAGTCGTGAAGAAGGACACACAGCCAAACCAGGGTCACCAGCAGCCAGGCACATCCACAAATAACTCGGAATCCGAGACGGGGGAGTGGAAAGAAGTCACCAAACGCCGGGGGACCAAAAATCCCTCTAAGGCAAGACTGATCACAACCACCAAAAAGAAGCCCGACGCGGAGGCACTGGTCCGGAGACGAGTTCCAAGGGCGGAATCGGTGACAATTGCAGACCCCGCCAACGGGGAAACATACGCCAGTGTGATGAGGCTCGCGACCAGCTGCATCGATCTGCAAGAGCACGGTATCGAAATCGGGAGAGTACGGCGCACAAAAGCAGGAGCTATCCTCATGGAGGTCAGCGGGAAAGAGAAGGCAGAAAAGCTATCCACCCTCCTTTGTGAATCCCTAGGCCAAAGATCGAAAGTTAGCAGACCCAGGAGAACGACCCCAGTGCTGGTCATCAACATCCCTGAATGGCTGGACGATGACAAGGTTAAATGCACGATTGTGGAAGCAGACCCCGGCCTGGATAGCTCATGTATCAGCATAAGGGAGAATGCTGGAGGAGGCAAGGTAGCTAAGCTCACAGTGGATATGGATACAGCTCTTAGACTATCCGCACTTAAGAGCATTAGAATAGGATGGAACTCGTGCCGCGTCAAGCTCTTGGAGACAAAGTCACCGACCTGCTACAGATGCCAGGCGAACGGTCACATCGCGGCAGAATGTCGAGCCACAGATGCTTTGCCGAAAAAGTGTTACCGATGCCGCGGAACAGGACACCTTGCGGCAACGTGCCAGGCATCCAGACCTGAGCATAAGAAGAGCGGGGTAACGGAATCCGCAGGCGAAGGGGTAAATGATTAAGTTCATTCAAGTGAACCTGAACCACTGCAAAGTGGCTCAGGATCTGCTCAGGCAGTACGCAGCCGAGCAGCTTGTAGAGGTTGTACTTATTACCGACCCCTACTCTGCTCCCGAAGGATCGACTTCTTGGTTCGCCAGTTCCGGAACCCGGAGAGCGGCCATCTGGCTCGCAGGCAAGAATGTTACTGCTGCCAAAGTCCATAGGGATTCAGAATTCGTGTCCGTCCGCCTAAATGGTGTCCAAACATTTAGATGTTATGCGTCACCCAATAAGACGAGGGCCGAATTCGAGGATTTCTTGAGAAGGTTGGAAGATAAGGTCAGAGCTGTAGAGCCGGGGGTTCCTGTTTTGATCACAGGGGACTTTAACGCACGATCAGCGTCATGAAGAGACTGGTGCCGCGACACTCGAGGAGACGACCTAAGCCCACTGTTTGACTCTCTTGGCCTCCAGGTGCTAAACGAGGGATCTAAACCAACCTTTGTGGGCATAGGAAGAGGTTTTATCGTCGATCTCACCGTGGTTTCGGAGTTCATCGTAGGCCGAACCTCAGGATGGCGCGTGTGCGATGAGATAGAAAGCATGTCAGATCACCAATATATCGCGTTCGACCTGGAGACCAGCCGAAACAGAACGCCCCCAAACACACACGATCCTAGGGGCTGGAAAACAGATGGCGACATCAGCGGCCAAGATATCGAAGTTGGATTCCTTCTGGCGGAATGGACGGGGGACCGAGCACTGTTTGCGGCATCAGCCAACGCTCACCAGCGAGCGCGGGCAGTCCACGAATCCATCACCACGGCTTGTGATTTTGCTCTCCAGCGCCTCTCATCCGGCCCACCGGGCAAGCCACCGGTCCACTGGTGGAACGCCGAAATTGCAGCAAAACGAAAGGCATGTGTCGCGGCAAAAAGGGCCAAAACGAGATGTGTTGCCAAACTTCACCTCAGGCGCAATCGCGGACAGGACTTGACTCCTGAAGAAGAAGCTGTAGCAGTCGCAAACATCTGCTACAAGGAAGCTAGAAAGTGCCTAAAGACCGCCATCGCCGCCAGCAAGGAAAGATGTTGGATGGAAATGCTGGAAACTATCGACGGGGACCCTTGGGGCAAACCCTACAAGCTGGTCACCCGCAAGCTCCAAGGACCTTCCGCGACCGCAAACATGGATCCTGAAGACGTTTTGAGGATAACCGACACACTGTTCCCATCGCGCCTCCCCGCAGACGCTCAAATACTGCCGGCGAAGCGGAATTTCCTCCCTTCACAGTCGAAGAGGTGGACAAGGCGGTCCACAGGGCCCAGCGGAAATCCACGGCTCCTGGCCTGGACTGTATAACTGGACGGATACTAAAGTTCAGGTCAGACTGTGGTACAGTGCACATGTGCTCCGCAGTCTTTTAAAAGTCCCAGGTGTAGTTGTGGTTTGTTTTTTGTGTACTATATACGAATCTTTTGGTGTATCGCGCGCGAGTGCAGGTTAGGGAGGCGAGCGTTGACGGCGTTTTTAGTCTTCCGCTAGCGTAAATTGGTATTTACGGTATTCGGAAAAAAAATCCCCGGAAAAAAAATCCCCGGAATAAAAACCCCCGGATAAAAAATCCCCGGAAAATAAATCCACAGGAAAAAAAACCCCCGGAAAAAAAATCCCCTAAGTTTGCTTTGTCGAGTTTGCAAAGTGTACTTATATAAAATAAATATATAATTGTACATCCTAAACGGAAACAAACAAATGTCGGTGTAGCGTCCTCTCAATAAACGCGATTACGATGTTATACCGACTGACCAATTAGTTTGAGTCCAGAACGCATAATAGCTGTTAATCGCATTATCGACACATAAAGACGTTATCTACTTATCGAAATCATTATAGTAGTACGATTGACAAATAATAAAATGATCGGAACAAAATTTCTTAAGTCTAGAAAATATTGTTGGCGGTCTATTTATTACTGCGGGCCTATATTGTTAACGATAAATTATACGGTTAAACCTTAGATGGTTAGTATACTTCTATAGTTCCTGTACATAGTGCAGTATAGAGTACCTTGTCTCCGAGTAATTTTTATATCTGTGACTGTGTAATTATGGAAATACTTAAATCCACTCAAGGAAATGACAAAGTTTGTTTTAATGATTTTACTTACGTACGTCAAAAAGATTGTACATTTTTTATCAGATGGAGATGTTCAAAATATAGTTCGTTTAAGTGTCCAGCTATTTTAAAAACATCACATACAATTAAAAATCCACGGGAAATCCACGATCATAATCATTCTGCAGATCGAAATGGTAAAATTTATTTAATTATTATATTATCATTTATACGTTCCTAATTTTTCGTTTTTTTTTAATAAGTATTTTTTATTTTTTTATATTTATTTAATTAATTAATTTAAAACATTATGTTATTTAATTACTGTACTATTTTTACTAAATGGCACTTACCCGTTTATAATAATATATACTTATTTATCAATATTAAAAATAATTATTATTTATATATATATATATATTATATATAGCTATAGCTGCCATAAAAATTCAAAGGAAAATTAAAAATAAAGCCTTAGCGTCAAATGATACTCCGGGCCAAATATTTTCCGAGGCAATCGAAAATGTGGCAGTAGATATTTTAGCTGAATTGCCTAAGGAAAGTCATATTAAACGTACCATTAGAAACCATCGAAGTTATCACAATCCAAAAGAACCTCAAAACATACAAGAAATTATTATTCAAGGTATAAAATAGTATATTATATTTAGGAGAAATACATATTATAGTTAACAATAATTATATCAATTTTTATAGGTGAATGGCATTTAGATAGATAGATTAGTTATTGCAGGACAATGTCCAGTACTTCAGAAAGAATATATGTTTGCAACAGATGATCATCTAAGACTACTACAGCATTATCACCTGGTATTCTAGACTGAAATTTGATTGTCCAAAATTTTCTTACAATTATACGTAATACGGATAAAAAATGTATTTTTAATTCTAATTTATTGTATTTTACAAAGAAAATCTAAACAAACATAGTGGAAATGTTTCAAATTATACAAAAGAATGTTCTAAACGATTTCCGGACCCCAGCTGGACTTAACTCTGACTTTGAAAGTGCAGTTATTGAAGCAGCAAAAGAAGTAATTGGTAATCATATAAATGTAAGAGGCTGCTTCTATCATTTGAGTCAATCAACCTTCCGTAAGGTACAAGAACTGGGACTTGCCCAAGTGCCGAAAAGGGATGAAGAATTTTGAAAATTGTGGAATGGGATGAATCTGTTCTTCCTTTGCACCTCGTAGAAGAAGGTATGATGTATTTAAAACAATTTACCCGAAAATCTCACTGGATTCATTAGATTATTTGATGCATACACGTTAGTGGAAATATCAGAAGACTGGAAATGAAGAAAATATATTAGGTTTCGAAACAACCACACAATGTCCACCATGACTGTAAATGGAATTACACCCATCTCAATGATCTGTAATCAGAACTAACAACATTGTTGAAGGATGGAACAATAGGTTTCAAACTAGTTGTCAAACATCCCACAATGGAAACTGATAGAGAAAAAAATAAATCAACGCCGATAGAGTTAGTCAATAGATCTTAGGTGAACCTGAAGAGCGGAGAACAAAAGAGGTCACAATAAACTGTAAACATCCGTCTAAAAGAGAATTAATCAAGACAAAATGAAGACAACATAATGGGGAATTTTTGACAGTGTCAGAGTAATAACATTAACGCTAAGAGAACCGATTAACTTTTTATTATATAATAGATATTGTTTATTTATGCGCAGTGTAATCAAAATTTTATATTTTTATTATTATTAACCCTTTCAGTGCCAAAATTAATTTTGACCAGTGGTGCTCGTCAGACCAGAATTTTTTATATTTTTATATTTTCTTATTGAATAATTAAATGACTAAAAATGACGTAAATTATGTAAGTATTGTAATTTCTAAAGTCAAGTGTTCAGTGTTTCTAAAATGTTAACGAATGGACAATTACGAGCTGTAGTGTTTGCGAAATAGGTATGTGTATTTCGGGGCGTTTTCTGTGGTTTATTTTCGGATTTCTGGCATCAGATTTCAGATTGTATAGTCGAGAAACGTTTTTCCGGAGGACTTCGCTTTCTGCTCGTGCCTAGCGATTGCATCCGGTTACTTTCGTGGTTGTTATCACTAGGTTTTTATTGAGGGATTTCGTCGATGTATTCCGGGTTCCAGTTACCAAAGACGGTCGGATGTTTCTTTCGCAAACGATTCGCCCAAACCGCGAGAACGTGCGACTAGAGGGTTAGGCACTGTGCGCACGGCGAGGATCGTGTGCGTGGCGCCCGTCGACAACGCGGCGCCGAGACCGGGCACGGCGGTGAGTCACGCCCACCAGACAGGTGGGGCACGCACAGAAGCGGCAGGTGAGCAATACGTAACCGAACGAAGCATAACAGC